AAAACCTGTTTAGCAAATTTTAAAACTTAAACAATCACAGGAATACTGTTCAGTATTTGCCAGCCCATATTTACTTTGGGATAAATCGAAATAAATAAATCAAATTTGTCTAACAAAGAAATCTTTGTTTATTATATTGCACATTCTACTATGTAAACTGCAGACACAAAAATAGCATGCAATTATTCCATTCCATATTAATAAAAGTAACACAAAATACTGCATAAGTTTTCCGATTCTATAGAATTTATCTTCATAATTAGTTATATAAAATTGGAAAGGAGGTAAAAAATTGGTGATGAAACCAAAGTCTTAATTGGAAAATATGTAAGTATACTTTATCTGATTAGATGTTACATACAAAAGAAATTTTTGGTTGCCCTGAACATTGGGTTAAAGAAACAGTAATAGTTGTCACTTCCCTGAACTCATTACAATTTACAAAACTAAACACAGTTTTTAAAACTTTTCCAATGACATAATTTTTGATAATAGATTTTCCAAAATTGAATACATAGTACAGTCAGTCTAAGTGATTTTAAAAATCAACTTAGATAAAATTGCTGAATTAATTTTTCATTTTTAAATGAAAAATGCATGAGCAAAAACTGAAACCACCTAGAACTTAATGCAGGACAGAATAATATAAACAGCTTAAACAAATGAGTGAGAAGGCTCTTACTGTTTTGCGCAAAAAGATACTTCTGATAGTGCTGTTATCAAAAGAAATTAGAGTTTATGACAGCTGTCCAGTATCTGCCACTCTGTTGATTATAAGATTGAATAATTAACTCTTTAGACCTTACATTTTTATAATGCATTGTTTTCATATTATTTTTCCTTTGCAAACAATACATTTTTAGATCAAGGATTGCATGAAGATAATTTTAAAAAAATCTAGTTGAATTCAAATCATGCAGATTTCCTAGGTGATAAAAGTGATTTGCTGCTGCTTTCTTACAAAAACATTTAAAACCTCTCAAACCACTTGCTCAGTCCTTTGCCCTAAAATACACTAAAGTACACTCTCACTATGAGAGCAATTCTTATTCAGTATTAAGCTTTACCTTACAGACGTTGTACCATTTGCAAACCCCAAAAATGTTTGTTTATTTATTTATTTATTTATTTATTTATTTGATTTGCCAATTGTTTACAAGATAATAAGTATAAGTGTATACATAGTTGTGAATACATGAAATGGGTACATATAAGAAAAATAAAAGAAGAATAAGAGAAACAATAGGACAGGGACGGTAGGCACGTTGGTGCGCTTATGCACGCCCCCTACAGACCTCTTAGGAAAGGGGTGAGGTCAATAGTAGACAGTCTAAGGTTAAAGTTTTTGGGGTTTGGGGAAGAAACTACAGAGTCGGGTAGAGTATTCCAGACATTGACCACTCTATTGCTGAAGTCATATTTCCTGCAATCAAGTTTGGTGCGGTTAACATTGAGTTTGTATCTATTGTGTGCTCTTGTGTTGTTATGGTTGAAGCTGAAGTATTCATTGACAGGTAGGACATTGCAATGTATGATTTTATATACCATGCTTAAATCAGACCAAAGACGGCGTAATTCAAGGTTTTCTAGTTCTAGAATTTCAAGTCTGGTGGCATAAGGTATTCTACAGCGAGTGGAGGAGTGGAGAACTCTTCTTGTGAAATATTTCTGGACTTTCTCAATTGTGCTAATATCAGATATGTAATGTGGGTTCCAGACTGATGAACTGTATTCGAGTATTGGTCTAGCAAATGTTTTGTATGCTCTGGTTAGTAGTGTGATATTACCAGAGAAAAAGCTACGTAGGATTAGGTTAACAACTCTTAATGCCTTTTTGGCTATGTAGTTGCAGTGGGCTCTAGCACTTAGATCATTAGAGGTGAGTATTCCAAGGTCCTTTACAGAGCTTGGGTATGTGTGTTTCCTAACAAAATAGGAAGCAGTACAAATGGGCTTTTTTCGTGGTTCTTTGTTTTAAATTCAGGCACTATTGTAAAGAAATTGCTTTGCATTTTAACTCCTGTTATCATGTTCATTTATTTGCACATTCCATGGCCAATCATGAATGCTGAATCTTTTAGGAGAGTGTTTCCCAAACTTTGCAACTTAAAATGGGTGGATTTCAAGTCTCAGAATTCCCCAGCCATTGAAACCCACATGTTATAGAAGCCAAGTTTTAAAAATATTGTTTTAGACGTCTAATGGAGAATCTCAATCATCCAGGTCACGGTTGTCCCAAAGGGGCTTTTTCCAAAAGGCAACTGGACTTCCTTGGGTTTTTCCTTTGAAAATGTTCCACTTCTCATCCAAGAACCTTCTTCAGTTGGGAACTGAAGAAGCTTCTTGAATGAGAACGGAACGTTCTCAAAGAAAAAACTCCAGTTGCCTTTTGGAAAAAGCATCTTTGGGACATATTGTTTTAGACCAGGGGTCTTCAAAATTGACACCTTTAAGATTTGTGGACTTCAACTCCCAGAATTCCTCCTCCAGTCATGTTAGCTGAGGAATTCTGGGAGTTGAAGTCCACAAGTCTTAAACTTGACAAGTTTGGAAAGCCTTGTTTTAGACGTTCAAGTGACATTCTAATCTATGACTTATATGGAATATAGCCTCTCAGTAAGAAGAAGGAAAAAAAAAAACCTCCGCAGCTTCATTCAAAGACGCCAAGGCCAGCGGGCGAAGCGTCTGTGATCGTTGAGCGTTTGTCTATGCATCGCGCTCGACTTTTCCGTAACGCAACATGGCGTTTCCCTTTGCAAAACCATCAATTCTTTTTTTGGGGGGGTGGGGGTGGGGGTGGGATTGAAAAGTCGAAGAAGAAACCCAAACTACCAAATTGCTGTGAAGGGAAGAGGAGCACATATATTCTAACCCAAAGGTCCCTCCATTTTCCCCTGGATGTTTGGAGAGGGGGGGTTGCCCAAGCTTGTAAGTAGGTAGCCGCCATGCTGTACGTTAAAAGATTCGGGAAATGGAAAGGTGGCTTCTCTGGGACGCGGCACTTCCGTTTCCGGTTAGGCCGGTGGTTGGAGCGGGTGCAATTGAAGCTTGAAGGTAAATAAAACATCCTGCCCCTCCCCCCCCTCCGCCCCGCGCGCGTGTTTGGTTGGGGCCACTTCGGGTGGGAAAGCCGCGCAGCGTTGGGAATGCCGCCGGAATCGACGCAAAAAGAGCGCAGACCGGGAAAAAGTGAGAGTTTTCGATGCGATCCTCGGATCTTTGCTTACATTGGAAAGCTCACGGGGTAAACTTGGGCGACCCCCGTTGGGGGTCCGCATAGACAGGGGGCGCAAATGAAAAGGGCGGCGCTTCGTCCCTTTAAACCCAGGCGAATTTGGGGTGGCACAAGCCAGCTGTTCCCACTTCGGTCCTCTCCAAATTTCCTTAATTCCTTAGCTGGCATGATAGGGAGTCGTGGGCAGGCGAAGCTTTTTATATATTAAAAAAACCACTTCATTAGATTTTTATTTAACTTTTTTAAATTTTAGATTGACAAGCAGATAGCCTTGCATGCATACTCTGGTGGTGTGCCAGTCCATCCATGTATTTCTAAATTGGTGGACTATGGGGGGGTGGAAGTATGTTGGCTTTCGAGGTAGTGGCTACCTGGGTGACTTTGGGCCATTCACTCTTGTTTCAGCCCAACCACTTTACAAGTTTATAGTTGTGGGACAAATACGAGGAGGAAGGAGTATTAGGTATGTTCACTGCCTCGAGTTATTTATAACAATAATAAAGGCTAATTAACGTTAATTAATTAGAGGTCCTGGCTTGCATAGAAAAGCATGGGCATGCTTGGGATAAAACCAACTTTGGTCATGCTTGTGATAGTACTATTTTAAGCATTAGTAAGTAATACAGCACGTAGCATGGGATACAGCTGAGGGTGGCAACCAACTCTGCTCCTTCTCTGTGGTACTCTAATGTTTAAAATGAAAGCCTCACCTGTCCAAAGTTGAGATGTGGGTCTAAATTCAGTCTTTCTGGGCTCGCTTGTGAAGACCATAGGATAGGGAGGAACGTTGTGAGCAGAAATCTAAGTGAAGTAAATGGCAAAGAGTAGGAAATGAAGGAAAGAAAAATGTGTGTGTTAATGAAATTAAGAGGAAGAATGTTATTCCGTGTAAATGAAATTGGTGAATAATGTAGGGAGGGAAAGTATATTGTTATGAATGAATTGGCTAAACTGCAAGTCCAACAATATGAATTGGTGTCATCTTTGTGGACTATCTTGTCTGGGTTAAGAAACTAAGCAGGATCAAATCTGGTTAGTTACGTGAATGGGAGACCTCCAGGGAATAGTTAAGCTAGATGGAAAGTTTAAGAAACATCCCTGAAGAAGGCAAATGTCAACTGTTGCCAAGAAAAGTGCATGGACCCAACCATGAAGTCACTAGCAGTCAAGATATCGAGTCTCTGAATGTAGAGAATTCTTAGATTAATGATAGTTGGATGTTCTGCTCCAATAAATGATAATAAACAGTTTTTCAAAATGTAGGAAAAATTATACAACATTCAATAGGTGACAGTAATGGATGAGTGAGAATGAGAAAAATTATTTGAGTCATTTAGACACTGAGGATGAGTGAGAATTGGAATTGGTGAATATCTGTTTGGAAAAATATCAAATACATGATTTAAGCAAAAGTGTTGAGATCTACACATGGCAATGAATAGATAAACTTAAAGCATGATTGATTTTGATTATGTTGGAAAGCTGAGAGAATCAGTAAAGGATACAAGAGAGGAATTTTGAATAAGGGACAGATAATTTTTAGTATGTGTGAAAAAAGTAGACAGAGAAGGAAAAGAAAGAAAGAAAATATTGTAACCAGAATGACCACAGGAAGAGAAAATATAAAATATGTATGAAAAAAGCATTAGAAGATATAATAATTGCCCAGCAGAATAAATGGAAAGTTGACGTAAGGAAATAGGAAACCTCTTGGAACAGAGTGGAAAGAATTATGTAATTCTTATGTAGAAGTATCTGGAGTTATGCTAATGGCAAAGGGCATTTAATGGAATGATGAAGTAAAAGAGGTTATAGATGAGAAATAATGCTTGTAAGAGATTGACTCCTGCAAAAATGCAGAAGAAGGAAGCACTACAAAGAATGTTTTCAAAAACAAAAAATAGCTAAGATTTTAAAAGGCAGATAAATTCAGAGTGAACTTGTTAGAAATTTAAAAAATTGGCAGTGGCTGCCAATTAAACAAGGAGCTTCAACTAGACTGGAATTAAAATGATAAAAGAGATATATGATGAAACTGAAGTGAGGGTTTGCTGGAAGGAGTATTTTGGAGATTTATATGGGACAATAGTGTTATGTTGAAGAGCTGAATTGAAACAAATGGTATAGCTATTAGTGTCCAAATTTTTAGCTGTCAGTCAATCATAAAAGCTGTAAAAATGATATGGCTGCAGAGGTATTAAAACATGATTTGCAAATGGATTGGCTGCAACATGTTCAGGGGTATGTGAAGATTACTTCAATGCCTGATCATTGAAATAATAGTATTCCCCTACATAAAAGAAAAAAAAATAAGAGTGAATGCAAATGTGTAGGAGGCTTAGAAGATGATTGGTGGAATTTTGATTGGAAGTGGACAAGTGGTGGCAGTGAACAATATTTAGAGTGGAGTTTTTGAGATCCTAAAAAAGAGACAAGAAATGTAAGAAAAAGAGACAAGAAGTGTAAACCTCAAAAGGCATCTTTTGGGCTTTGGTGTAAATTAATTCAATTCAGGTGGTCCTCAGGTTACAATGGGATTGCCATTGCTAAGTGATGTGTGTTAGGTATAACATTGATACCAAATATGGTTTGGGTGAATAAATATATAAAACTTAGATATCATGGTTTAAGTGCTTATCACTTTAAGCACAATGCTGCAGGCAATTAGCCGATTAAGGGTGCGGTTAGAAGTTACAATATAAGGAAGCATTAGAAGCTGGAAAGCTTACTGCTGCGACTAACTGTGTCTTACTGTGACTAACTGTAATTACTGACTGTGAGTGCCTGTGACTGAACTGTTCTTGTTTGCTACTGTTTGCTGATTTACTGCGTAATTCTACTGTTCTACTGTTTGAACGTCTTGCTGAATATCCAGCGTTTGTTCCTCTGGAGAGAGGCACCGGAGGAGGAGAAGATATCTTTATCGGCTGATAAAGATATTGCAAGGACTCTTAACTTGGACTGTAATAGTGAGTCTTACTGGATGGAAATATAGTGAATGACTATTGGACTGAATGACAATGCTTTAAACTCTAAATGGATTAAAAACTATTTAAACTACAAACAGTGTTTGTGTTCAGTGTGTGTATACTCTGGGGCCCTTCCTGGCTTGACTACTGCTGCAATACTCTGCTAGGGGTTAATCCCCAAACCCTAACAATGTGGTTGTAAAGCATGATGTCATGTGACCACATCACTTAGCAATGACAATTCCTGCAGTCCCATTTGTAACCCCAAGACTTGCAGATCAGGCCATTAAGTAGGAAAGAGTGGGAATCCCAGGCAACGCGTAGGAGGTAGAAGGCTGTGGGGTTACTGGCACAGGCTAAGTATGAATTGGAGGAGGGCTTTGGGATGTCTAGTGCAGGTTGCAATGTGAGCACAGGAAGACCTGGGGAGGGTGATTTATTCACAGCAATTTGCAACCTTTTCTGCTGGCTTCCCCATTGACTGCTTGTGGGAAGCCAGTGGGAAAGGTAGCAAATGGGGATCGTGTGACTGCCGGGCATTAGAACCATCCGAAGTGTGAGCCAGTTGTCAAGCACCCAGATCGCAATCATGTGACCGCAGGGGTTCTGTGATGGCCAAAACTTTGTTCTAAGTATCATTCAGCACCATTACAACTCTGAACCATCTAGAAATTTAAAAAAAATAAGGGGAATATATGAAATGGTAAATGGATGGGGTGGAATTAAGGTGGTTTGCAAGGACAGAGAGGCATAGTGAAAATACTGTAGTGTTGATATAAACTAAATTTAGCCATGTTCCTTTGTTCCTTGTTCTTCTCTCATGCCCTAATTTATTTGGCTTGATTAGTTCTGCATTGTGCATAATGTTTCTGACCCCCCCCCACCATAGGAAATAGCATGATGGGTGTATGTGCGCGTGTACGTATGCATAGATTTGTACACGTGGCTTTGCGTGGAGGAGGGAATTGGGAGCATTATAGTTAGAAGTGGAGTGCCAAGGTTGAACAGCTGCAAAATCAGTGTGAGCGTGCAGTGATCCCCCCTGTAAAAGCTGCACATCTAACGGAAATGCTGCTGTTCATAAACGTTTATCCCACGGTGGAGCTGTTGGTCTCCAAGCTGCCCCAGCTTCCTGCAAGAGACAGCACAGCTGGCCATTCTGAAACTTAAAGGCATGGTAGAGAACAAGAGAAGACTTGAGCTGCCTTCGTGGGTGACGAACACAACTTTATTTTGCAGCTCCCGAAACTGAACTGTAGTTGTCTGCTTCCCCTTACTAAATAGGCACAGTAGCTTATTTAAAACGTATTTTCTGTTTTTCTCTTGTCTCCCGCTTGGCTGTTTCAGTTCATTAGGTTGTGTTGCTGGAACTCACCATCAAGGGAGGACCTTAAGGGAATGCATTAGAAGAGGAGGGGGGGTGGAGGATACGCCTGACAGGGGACTTTCTCCACCCCCTCTGGAAGAGAGCATCTTTGGGAAGAAGATCCCTGCCTGTGCCCCTCTCTCTCTGTGGAGAAAGATCTTGCATTGCAGCGCTTTATTTTTCTAAAGGATTCCAACTCAGCTGACATCACCAGAGGCAGCCTATTGCTTCCCAGATCGATGCTGTAACTTTTGCCTCTTCTCCTCTTTTGCCGCGCCTGCCAAAGGCATCTGTATGAACTCAGAAACCCCATGCCAATTCCCTGCGGGCGGGCCTGGCCTGCAGATGCTGCCTGGGTTTTTGTGACTCAGGCAGCCCGCCCACCGAAGGAGAGCAGAGGCCGCAGAGAGGCACAGGAAAGCAGGCATGGAGGACTCTGGCCAGCGCTTGGTGCTGGGCATGAACATGGGGGATGGGCGGCAGACACCTCCAGGGCAACTGCAGGCCCCCTCCGAAGGCAGCGAGGAGCAGCGGGTACCTGGGCCAGAGGCCATGTGTGATGGTAGTGGCGATGCCAAGAAGAAAGAAAATGAGGAAGAAGAAGAGGAGGAGGAGGAGGAGGAAGAGCTTGACCCTCGCATTCAGGTGAGGGGTTGCTAAAATTCCTTCTGTGGTGGCCCTGCCTCCCTGCCTACACCCTGAAACTTAGGAAGTTTGGGTCCCAAGGTCTGGTTGCAAAAATCTAGAGAGCCACTAGGTGGCAGCAAAGGGATACAGAAAAGTCTTGGCTGCCATTTAGTGATTGTGTGGCTGTTTGTAACCCAAATCCAGTGAGTGGCCTTCAAAAACTGGCTCCATCTGTGTCAGAGGGGAGCTGAAACTCAGCCTTCCTGCCTCCTGAAGGAGTACAGTCTGATTTTGGATTATTTTGCAGGCATTTAGGAAGAAAATGAGAACAGTTTGTCTCTGGGAGCTCTCCTTTTTTTCTTCCCCTCAAAAGGGGGAAAAGAATTGTACTGTCCCATCATCAGTACTCCTTACATTCCTAAACCTTGTCAATCCCCTTCCAAATAGAAATTTAACTTTATTTTGAAAGCCGTATTTTCTGGTTTAACGGAATAATATCTGGCAAACAACACGGTGTAGCAATAGCACTTAGACTTAATGTACTGTTCCACAATGCTTTACAGCCTTCTCTGAGTGATTTACAACGTCAGCCTATTGCACCCAATAATCTGGACCCTCATTTTCCCAAGCTCGGAAAGATAGAATGTTGAGTCAACCTAGAGCCGGTCAGGATTGAACTCCTGGCAGTGGGCAGAGTTAACCTGCAATAGTACATTCTAACCAATGCGCCACCATGGCTCTTAATTTTCCATTGTTTATTCTGCATTCAATAAAAGGATTTCTCCCCCTGCATGTTCTGAATGTTTGAATGAATACATGCCTATGCATGAGTGTTCCTTCCTGTTCAGAAGTCAAGTAGGGACTAGGCCACGCTGAAAAGTGAATTCCATCCCTCTGGATGTGCTGGGATTACAAGTCCTAGAATTCCCAGCTGGTGGCCATGCCAGATCAGAGGGGAGTTGTATGTTGTGTGTCAAGCCCGGAATTCACCTATGTGTAGCCATTTTAGTTAGGCTTAGTACATATTCTTTTTCTTACTTTCTCTTTGGCAGTTATGGGGGGAAGGGTTAGGGCTTGCCACATTCCCAAGGGGGGGAGGAGTGGAGATAGAGTTGTTTAGGCTAGGTGGTTCTTCTTCCTGTGGGAAAACGAACTGTCCGTGCTTAGGCCCCTTGAGGTGGAGATTTATGACATCAAGCAACGTTGCATTACTTCTATTGGAGAATGTGACTTTTGGGGGTTGTTTCTAACTTCTAGTATTGTGAGGTAATTCCGGGTTGTGTCAGATCCGGAATTACCATGGACTTTGCCAATTTGATGCTTTCCTAAATAAAAGAAATTGTCTTGGAAGATGGACTTTGTTCTTTTCTTTTTAAATGGATTTCATCACTTGGAAACTTGACATTGTGCTTAGTTTGGTGCCTTCTCTTAAGCCTCGATCTCCGATTTTCTGCCCACAGGAAGAGCTGGAGCATCTCAATCAAGCCAACGAAGAGATCAACCGAGTGGAATTGCAGCTGGATGTATGGCAACAGAATTTACATTCCTTGAAACACCAAGGGAGGGGAGGGGGACGTGGGCCCAAGGTTTTCCTTCATATTGTAGGGAGGGGAAAGCCCCCTCACTCGGGCAAGGAAGTGAAAATGGGTTGAAACCAGGCATACAGATATCCCTTGAACTCATGGCCCGCTCACTTAGTGACCGATTAAAGTTATGGCGGAAGCGAGGGACGAAGGGAGGATCTTCCAGCCAGAAAGATTGCAGTTTAGAGCTCTTGTACTCCGTGTCAGAGAAGAGGCATCGTAGTAGGCTTCAGGCCAGGAGATCAGCCAATTAAGACAATCCTCTCTCTCACCAGAAGACCAGTGAGGTTGAGAAAGGAAGTCTCACCTAGTTATGGTAAAACCCAGGTGCCACAATTGGATTGTGTATCTTGTTGCAAGCAAGTTGTCTCTTGGGTGATCTGCAACTTAATATGAAGTTTAAGAGTGGAGATGGGAGTAATGGCGGTTGAGGGGGGATGGAAAATGTCTACCCCTTCTAAAGTTGCCAGTTTATCAATGTCCCCTGGACACTCGGGAGTTTGAATTGCATCTCCTAAGCCTTCCCAGCGTTGATTACCCCGCTCTTGTCCCAGGACTGACCCAGGTTGTGGTTCAGAGCTTACATCGGTCCTCACCAGGACCACCTTGCTGAAATTCAGTGTCAGATTGCAGATTTTGGACAGCACGGGGGAGGAGGGGGATTTTTGGGAGGGAGGTTTTTTTTAAAAAAGAAATATATGCTAAAATAGTTGCATCAATATTACTCAAAATGCAAATCCTAAAATGTATCATTTATCCCCTGTAGTTTCAACATCAGAAGGTTTTCTTTCTTTTCTAAATAGAAACGGCTCCCCTCAGAATTCATCTGTACCGCTAGGATGACTATTCCCAAAATTCCCAGCAACTGTGACAATATATAGGAGGCACTGAGTTTGGGAGGACATTTTTTTTTAAAAGAAGTCATTTAATTAGTTCCTCCAAGTCAAAAAAATTAAAGGTTCCCCCCCCTCCACCATCCCAAGTAAGTAAGATCAGTTAGTACTTTGGCCCAGTTTAAACCAGGGGTGGGATTCTTAACTGTTCGAGCCTGGTTCTAATAGAACCGGTAGCTCCGAAGAGCAGCTGACACCGAACCAGTTGTCTGTTTGGTCATCTGTTTGGCCCACCTGGGCTCTAGGCTGCCCTTTGGCCTCTGCGTTTTCCTCCTCAGCTGCTTTGCGCGGCACAGCCGAGTGCCGCTCGTCAGCTGGAGCAGGTGAATGCTTGCCAGACCAGGTAATTTGTAAGTAGTGTGCATGCCTGCGAAGCGAACCGGTTGTTATGCCGGTAGGATCCCACCCCTGATTTAAACCGTGGAGCCAATTCTGGGGCTTCTCTTGCAAACTCCGTCAGCCTGCTTGGCATGACATACAGAAGGTCATCTCCCCGAGAATTTCCAGTAACATGAGGTTTATTTCTTGTTAAGACTCGTGATGGATAGGATTTTTGTTCGAAGCCAGTGCTTTGGAGTTGCTCTTGTCCTTTTAACACTTCCCTACTGCTTTTTTATCACCTTTTAAGACTTCCCTACTGCTCAGTGGTAGTATGCTACTTGGTTCAGACTGGTTTGTCCGAAATGGTAGTAAAAAAAACAAAAAAAGCCTCCCACGATCAGCTGAGAGGAGGGGAAAAAAGCCTCCAATCAGCTGAGAGGAGAAAGGAGAAAAGCGCAGGATTGTCCGTCCCACCCGCCCGTGCACTTTTCCCTTCTTTATCCTCTCAGCTGATTGGTGCTGCAGGCCTCAGCTGGTGTTGGGAAAGCTGCACATGTGTACCTGAGGTGTCCATGCACACATGTGCGATCACCGGACCTGCTGCTAATGTGCACCTAACGTTTGGGATAGATTGGCACCCTCAGGGCCTCCGTCGCTGGTCCAGATGGTGGCCATGTAGAATGGACCCACTGCCTGAGCCGCCCTTGTACATCCAACTTACACAGCATTGGAATCGGTCGCAGGGAAAAGAATCTCATCAAGGACAAAGGCAGGCTAGAAAGGCAAGGTCTGAATATAAGAGCAATAAATATGGCAAGAATTGTTAGGGGCGGGGGATGTTTATTAAAGATGTTGCTGACGCAGTTTGTGCCTTTGGTTTTAACAGGAGGCCCGTACCACGTACCGGCGGATCTTGTCTGAATCTGCTAGGAAGTTGAATACCCAGGGCTCCCAGCTGGGGAACTGCATCGAGAAAGCGCGCCCTTATTATGAAGCCAGGCGCTTGGCCAGGGAGGTACGCAGGACGTGGCTTTTCAGTTTTTTTCGCCCAATCTTTTTAATTGTATTCAAAACAAAGTTAAAATGCAAAACGTAACAAAAATCCAAGGAGACAAAAGAGAAAAAAAACACAAAACACAGCATTTAAAAGGTGCATAACCCCCCCTCACATTATACACATATTGTTCCCTTCAGTTGAATACTGATTAATATATTACAACAGGGGTCCCCAAACTTGGCAACTTTAGGACTTGTGGACTTCAACTCCCAGAATTCTGGGAGTTGAAGTCTACAAGTCTTAAAGTTGCCAAGTTCGGAGACCTCTATATCACAACAACATTAATTCCCACCCTTTGTGAAAGAAGCCCTCTCAAAATTTTTAAACTACTAAATATATTTGCAACTTGTTGACCTGTCTTCTGTATGTTAGACTAAAGACAACTTAGCTAACAGGAAGAACAGTAATAGTGACTATGGCCTTTCTTGAATATATCATTTATCCTCTGCAGTTTCAGTCCCAAAAGATGTTTCATTTTATTTATTTTATTATTTGTTGCCACCTCAATGTTGCCGCCTCAGGGCAGCGTATATTATAAAACATTAAAAAATATGTTGAAACCAAAGAGTATACTAAAGGCAGGATACAAATAAATGCAGAAATAAATCATGCCAAGTAAAATTTTCTACAGATGTTATTAGTGGCTCAGGAAACGGGGCCCTTGACAAGGCTTTGCAATTTGAGCTCTGCTTCAGCAGTCTTCTACTCATTTTATGAGAACCCATAAATCATTATCTGAATTCAGAAGCAACTGTCCTGAATTAGCAACCTCTTGTTTCTTGAACAAATGACTCAAGGTCCCATATCCATCTACAGATTACTTGTACTTTCACACCATTATCTTCCAAAAGGGGGGAAAAGAGTGCTCTTTTTGTTTTATAATGCAAATATTAATTCTCTAGGGATCTGAACTGTAGCTTGCAAAAGAGAAACTGCTTGTTTAATTTTTTAAGAGAGGATTCATAAAATGTTGGAAAAGCAGGATCAGCATGATGTACTATGACTTTCAGGTGTGTTTGGTTGAGGGAGCCATTGCTTTTCCAAAACTGTTAAAAATCTCCTTCCAATCAATTTGTTCTCTTCGTGTATGTAAGATCAAAGGATGATACGAGTCTAAGGAAAAACAGGATCACTGATTTTAGATATCGGTCCTGTCAACTAATTGAGCTGAGAACTCTTTTGACAGGCTCTGAGCTTTGAGCTGGCCAACCGCAGCCTTACACTCTTGTGCTTTCTTACAAGATTTGATTCCGATGAAAACTCTAGAAAAGCATAGTTAAAATATAAGATGACTCTGAATTCCAGTATTTGCTACCACGATATCAGAAAGTGCTGGCTCAAACTCAGCAATTCAGCTTTTAAAAAGTTGTGAGATAATAGGCATGCTCTTGGCATACATACTGAACCCATACATTTTGGGAGGCTAGTTTTTAATCCGGCCTCTTTCCCCAATCCTCTGGTTTTAAGTACATAGGAATGTTCTTCTTCAGAAAGCATAGCCAACTAATATGCCATCCCCTTCCTACAGTCTGAAATGGTATAGAATGGAATTCCTTTTCCTTTCCTTTCCCTTTTCCTTTCCTTTTCCTTCCCTTTTCCTTCCTTTCCTTTCCTTTTCCTTTTCCTTTCCTTTCCTCTCCTTTCCTTTTCCTTTCCTTTCCTTTCCTCTCCTTTCCTTTTCCTTCCTTTCCTTTCCTAATGTGATTGAATGAATTTGTCTCTGGTGCATAAGCTTTCAGGCTACATACAAGCAACAAATGATAAATCATAAAAGTAATCATAAAATACAATCATCATAAATAATCATAAATCTTAAGATACAGCATGTCGTAAGTTAGTCATAAGATAAATAAGCAATCAACATAAATCATAGGATACTAAATAAAGTCAATGAACATAAATCAAGATTCAAACAACAAAGTTATAGTCATAAGAAGCTAAGGAAATAGATAATAGGAAAGACGAGAAGGATAATAGTAATACAGCCCTGCTAGGTGGTTTGTCATTCCCAGAGCATAAAACAGTGTTGTGGGAATTAGTTGTTTTGCAGTGTAATGGCATGGGGGGAAACAGCTGCTCTTGTGTCTAGTTGTTTTGGCGTGCAATGCTCTTTTTGGTGTGCAGCCCAAGGTGACCCAGATGCCTCATGAATCTTGTTCATTTGAGATCTCACATGCCTTCTCAAGATTTAAGCTCTAGATCAAATCTGACAGAAACGAGAAAAAAATATGATGGGGTTTCCCTCAAGAGGGAAGACCAAAGGGTGCTTGCCGGTTTAATAGCGGTGGTTTAACTATTATCACTGATTCCATTTTACCTGCTTTCCGGCAGGCCCAGCAAGAGACTCAGAAGGCTGCCCTGCGGTACGAACGAGCTGTTAGCATGCACAACGCAGCCCGGGAAATGGTTTTCGTGGCTGAGCAGGGAGTCATGGCAGACAAGAACAGGCTGGATCCCACCTGGCAGGAGATGCTGAACCATGCCACCTCCAAGGTGAAGTTCTTCTTCTGGGGTGGAATTGGACTGACTTTCCCAACCTGACGGGCTCCAAAAGAGTCCTGGATGATCAGGAGAAGGTTTCAGAGAGGGAAATGTTGCCCTGGAGCAGGGGTCTCCAACCTCGGCCAGTTTAAGACTTGTGGGCTTCAACTCCCAGAATTCCTCAGCCAATTTTAGCAGGGGTCTCCAGCCTTGGCCATTTTAAGTCTTGTGGACTTCAACTCCCAGAATTCCTCAGCCAGTTTTAGCAGGGCTCTCCAGCCTTGGCCACTTTAAGACTTGTGGACTTCAACTCCCAGAATTCCTCAGCCAGTTTTAGCAGGGGTCTCCAACCTCGGCCATTTTAAGACTTGTGGACTTCAACTCCCAGAATTCCTCAGCCAGTTTTAGCAGGGGTCTCCAACCTTGGCCATTTTAAAACTTGTGGACTTCAATTCCCAGAATTCTGGGAGTTGAAGTCCACAAGTCTTAAAGTGGCCAAGCTTAGAGACCCCTACTACTCTAGAGCACCCTATAGATGTAGCTTCTGTAGTGTTGGAAAACAGCAGTCACCATGAAGGTGGAGAGAAGAGAATAGCAAGGCTGGTTGCGGTATCAGTTCAGTAACTCGTGATTCCTCTGTCCTTCAGGTGAACGAGGCCGAGGAAGAGCGCCTGCGCAGCGAACGGGAGCACCAGCGGGTCACCCAGCTCTGCCAGAAGGCCGAGGCAAAGGTGCAGTCCCTGCAGAAATCCCTCAAGAGAGTCATTCTGAAGAGCAAGCCCTACTTCGAGCTGAAGGTTCAGTTCAACCAAATCTTGGAGGTGAGGCCGAACTTTGACCCTGCACTAAGTCCCTTGCCTATACCAAAAAGATAAGGGGGGGGGGAGGAGCAGACACAGATGTTGATCTTTGCAAAGTCAGGCCTATACAGGTAGTCCTTGACTTACAACAGTTCATTTAGTGACCGTTCCAAGTTACAGTGACACTGAAAAAAGTGACTTATGACAGTTTTTCACAGTTACAAACTTTGCGGCACATCCATAACCAGGTGATCCGAATTCAGACGCTTGGCACCTGGTTCATATTTATGACCGTTGCTGTGGTCATGTGATCCCCTTCTGACAAGCAAAGGGGAAGCCAGATTGACTTAACACACATGTATCAACTGCGGTCATTCGCTTAACAACTTTGGCAAGAAAGATGATAAAACGGGGCAAAATTCACTTAACAAATGTCTCACTGAACGGAAATTTTGGGCTCAGTTGTGGTCATAACTCAAGAACTACCTGTAATTGTTTCCCATCTGTCCTGTGACTAAGCTAGAGAGATAGCTTCACCTTTTCTTGATGAAGATACGTATTCCACTTCTAGAACACGAAATTATGAAACGCTAGGCACAAATTGGAGGCTCAAGAACGATGTCTATCGTGTGTCAACTCATTAAACATTCTGTGATGACCCGGGGCGTGACACAAAAATAACCAAGTCACAAAAATAGAAGAAAGTCCCTTTAATGCCTCCAACTTGGCCCCAATGTCCAATTATCCTCTGCTGGATATCCAACTCTTAAAGAAAGCAGTTTACGGAGGGAGTAAATGCAGTCCGCACCCAAAGTAAAGAATTCGAAATAAAAAACAACACACCACACTGAAGGAATTACTACGGCAGGCAAGGATGATTAATTGCAGACTTCTACCAGATACGCAACAACCACAGTTGGGAGGAAGCCAAAACACAGATAAGCTCCAACAAGAATGCACGCTTTGCTTCCAGCAACTTTGCCATGCACAGTTTGTCCTTTTAACCAGTCCTCCCAGCTGCAGCCCATGAAGGGGATCAGGGCCCCTTCCTCCCCTGTGGAACACACCACTCACATTTCTCCCTTATCCACTCCTCCCTGCGTGCCCTAGGATGAAGAGGGGATGGGCCTGGGTCTTCCTCTGAATGCCCATCTGACCTGTGCCCTTCCCCAGTTTCCTCGACAACCAACGGAGCCACACTCCCACTCCCTGTCAGCTGTTCCATCTCTCCCTCGGAATCAGACTCCAACAGGGGCATGACAATTCCTATGCCTGTTTTAGTAGTTGCCATAAAAAAGGGGGGAAAGCGAAAGTACATTCCAATCCTTATTTTTAAAAGATTGTAACTAAAATACCAGAGTTTTTGCCCATGAATATATTTAATTGGCAAACGTGCATGATGACACCCAGCCTGTGAATGTGCTCAATTGGAGAATCTTGGCTGGAGAATTTGGCTGGAGAATCATGATTTAATTGAAGCGATTGCTGGAATCCTGACATTGTGACTCTTCCAGTTCAAGTTAAACATTTGGGTTATCTGGGTGGATAAAATAAACCCTCCTTCTGAGTCAAGTTCCCTGGTGCTCACAGGGAGACACTCCTGTACAGATAGTGCCCGGATTATGAGCTTTCCCTTTGCGAATGTTCAAAGATACGCGAAAAGCGCCCCCTAGCCTTTGCGAACAAGGCCCGAAACAATCTTGCAGCACCACGGCAGTTGTTTGCCCTTACAAACAACCACAGAAGCTCTGCAACATTCGTCCTGCACATTACCAACCGAAATGGCGATTCTGAGGGGAGGCTCCACCCCTCGGAAGCCCCATTCGGGCATCCAGAGGTCTCCCCCAGCCCATTGCAGGCCGAAGCGGAGCGTCAGAGGGCCGGATTTGCAACGTACCCATTTAGACACCCTTCGAAGTTACAACTGCACTGACAAAAGTGACTTACGATGGTGTTTCAGACTTACAACATTTGCAGCATCTCCTTGGTCATGTGATCAAAATTCGGATGCATGGCAACGGGTTCATATTTGTGACCGTTGCAGTGTCCCGGGGTCATGTAATCAGGTTTTGGGACCTTCTGACAAGCGAAGATAACGGGGAAGCCAGTTTCACTTAACAACCAAGTTCACTTAATATTAAGTTAACTTAACAACTGCAATGATTCACTTAGCAACTGTGGCAAGAAAGATGGCAAAATAGGGCAAAACTCATTTAACAAATGCTTCACTTAGCAACATAAATTTTGGGCTCAAGGACCACCTGTAGTATAGTGGTCACAAGTTGAGGACCACCTGTAGTATGGAAATGGTTTGCTACTGCTCTGTTGTCACATTGGCACAGGCCCACCTTGCATACAAATAGTCCTCAATCTACAACCACAGTTGAGCCCAAAAATTTATATTGCTAAGTGAGAAATTTGTTTTGCCCCATTTTATGAGTTTTCTTGCCACATTTGTTAAGTAAATCAATTAGTAATCAATTAGTATTCAGTTAAGTGAATCTGATTTCCTCATTGATTGTTAGAAACTTGCAAAAGCTGATCACATGACCTCAGGACACTGCAGCCGTCATAAGTGTAAGACAGTTGTCAAGCATCCGAATGTAAATCACGTGACCGTGGGGATGTTGCAACGGTCATAAGTATGAAAAATGGTCATAAGTTCCTTTTTTCAGTGCTGTTGTAACTTTGGTCACGAAGCAAACTCTTGTAAATCGAGGACTACCTGTACTAGCTTAGAATTCAGATGGGATGGGAGAGAATTTGGAATTCTAGGTGGAAATACGGAATTGACTTTGGAATAGTGGATTTCATTCCCAGCTGGTTATACACAGTCTAAATCAGGGGTGTGAAACTCGCGGTCCGCGGGCTAAATGTGTTACTCATTGGCCATGCCTGCACCCAATTTAACGAAGGGAGAAGTCGTGATACATCACGTGACAACAACACGACGTCGCGAGTTTGATAACCCGTGGTCTAAATGCACAACCTTTGGGCTGAAGGCTGCACATTCCCATCCTCTTTTTAATTTGGATTTTGCCTCTCCCCATCCGTCTTTTCTACCTAATGGAAACTTAAACCATAACGTTTTAACTACAGTGAAGCCTTGGGTTGTGACCGTAATCCATTCCTGGACTCCAGTTGCGACACGATTTGGTCATGTCCGGAAGCACGACTGACTGAGCATGTGCGTAGTAAATAAAAATGGCGCCAAAGGGAAATTGGCACAGAAAGGGAATCTTTCCTTGCCGATGTTGTTCGCCACCCGATTTTTGAATCGTGACCCGATTCAAAAATTGGGTGGATTTTTTTTTTTAATAAAGTTTTATTTGGGTTTTCACACATACAAAATACAAGTAAAACACCTTTTTCAAAATAGCATGGTCCTGGGTTGAACTTCTTTATACAGTCACAAAACTCAATTTCATGCTCCTTTTTGTATTCTATTCCATATCTTATACTATTTTACATTTTCTATATAGTTTTTCCCCTCTTTTGATTTTCTCGATTTTAATTTGATTATCTCATCTCAATTCAAATAATTATATTTATACTTTTGTCTGTTCTGTTTCAATTTCATATTATCTTTTCTCATTAAAGAAGTTTTCTCCTGTAGTTACTAATTGGAGTATGATACCTTTATATCTTTTAATTACATCCATTCAACTCTTATTTAAACTTCAATATATACCTTAAGGTTATGACCTTCAATATAATACATAATACATAACTTCCAATCGAATTCTGCTTGGTACATTCTTATAATACACACTATATTCTTTAAAAAAAAAGATTGTAAATATATGTAATTATAAACCCTCATTCCGTTCCAGTTCAGTTCTATCATTAATAATCATTAAAATCTTAACATCTTTAACACTTCTTTTCAATTAAATATCATACTTCCTTAAAAACACATATAATCTCCATAATTAATTTTTTCCTTATTTCTCTTCACATATGTTTTATAAATCATTAAATATACCTTTTATTACATTTATTTATTGACAAGCATTCCACTGAATTACGATAGCTATTTTATCAGACATTTTAATCATACATTGTTTCATATTTTCTAAAATTATTTCTGTTTCTAATATAACCATACTATCTTATGTACCTTTGCAGAATCCCTTTTTCCATTAAATTTTCACCTATTATCTCTAAATAGGTCCTGTTTCTCTATATTTTGTTTCTGTCCTTTATGACTTCTTTTCCTTTCTTTCTTCCCTCTCATCTTCTCTCTCCCCTTTTTATCCCCTTGTCTCTCTAGTTCTAATTCTCTCTTCTGCATTTCCCTCTTCTGTTGCTTTCTGATTTTATACTTATTTTTCACTCTATTTTTTTTTTTGGAGTTGTTTTTCCCAATCTTAAACTTTCCATTCTCTTTCCCCCCTTTCCCTTTTTCTCCCACCTAAGATTACTTGTTCATTAAAGATGGCTTCTTCTTTGTCGCAATCTTCTTGTTCTGCAGGCATTTCTTGTTGTTTCTCATAATTCCAAATCTCCATTTCTAAAAACTGAAATACGAAGCCAAAAGAACCCCTCCCTTCTTGTGCATCTTCTTTGTACTTTTTAAGTTCCATTTTCAGTTCTTCTAAAAGTGGAGCCATTTTAAACAGTTTTAAACAACCAACCGATTGATTTTAGTCATTCAAAACAATAACCAAGAATCCAGAAATCAAGTAATCCAGATAGTCCCGAGTTATATCTTCTTATTTCTTTTTCGACTTTCTCTTCCTGGGGTTTTTGTTGCGATATTTCAGTTAGAATGTATCTTTTGGAAGTCTTGTTGAGATTTTGCTATAAGTTCTTTTTTAATTCCAGGCAGTCTTCTCCCTTCCAGATCCTGCCCTTTTATTCTTCCTCTCTCCTTTCCTGTTTTCAAAAGCTTTTAATTATCCAGAAATCTTTATTATCCCTTTGACTTTTTATTTTCAGCATTAAATGCTGAAAATTGATGTCAAAGTGGATTTTTTTCCAATTTCTTACTTAAGACTCTTAGCTGTCAGTATAGGAAAAGGAGAAAAAAACGCCAAATCTTTTCCCTTTTCTCTCCTTCGCAGCTTAAAAATCTTCTTAGGGAACAATGTTATTGTTTTTTAATAGTTTCAGTTCCAGGGTACCTTATTTGTTGCTTTTGCTGTTTGACCCGGTCAACCAAAACTTTCTCCTCTTATCTTCCTCCTGCACATTCTTTTCAGGTCGAGTTCTTCTTTGTGGTGGCCATTTCTGACCACCGCTGCAACCGCCTTTGGGAAAGGGAGTAATGGCCAGCTGGGGAGGAGAGATGCGGCTCTCCTCAACCCTGCAGGCAGTCTCCCCCCTCTTCACCACCTCTACAGGGTGGCTTAGCCCCGAAACCAGCCGGCTCGGGGCACTCCAGCGGCGAGCATGGATCGAAGCCTTGCAAAGACAAGGTTTCGGTCTGTCGCTGAAAAAGCTCCAACCGGAAGCCTAATTGGGTGGATTTTTTGTTCACCCAATTTGGTCGCAAACAGGAGCATTCACTACCTGAGGTCCCACTGTACTTACTTACAGTACTCTGTACTGAAGGCGGCTGAAGAGTGTTCTTCTACAGATGCCTACATCTGTCTCCGATCTTCCTCAGCGGTACTGTTCCTAAGGCAGGGATCTTGTCCTCAGTGTAATACAGCAATGTATCGACGGATGCAATATTAACCCTCACGGTAGATTTTCTTGCCTGGTATTCCTTGCATTTTAGGAGCACAAGGCCAGGGTGACATCCCTGGAGCAGCAGGTTGCCCAGGCCAAGATGCGCTATTCCGTAGCCCTGCGCAACCTGGAGCAGATCAGCGAGCAGATCCACGCGCGGCGGCTCCAGCGCTTGGTCGGACGGCGTGCTTCCCCAGTTGGTGCTGAATCCAGCCCGGCGCTGCTGTATGGCGGGATGGTGCTACCTCCTGAGCCCGTTGCCTCGGCCGACACACTCTCGGTCCTCAGCTTCCAGACCATCGCCTCTGACCTGCAGAAGTTTGACTCGGTCGAGCATCTCCTGGGCCTGTCTGACGCTGCCAGTCTCAACAGCGATGAGCTGGAGGAAAGGGAGCAGCGGCGGATGGCTCAGCCCCACTCCTTTAAGCACCACCGCAGCATCAGCCTCTGATGTGCCCTTTCTCTCGCTGCCCCTATAAGTCCAGGCCTTCAGAAGAATTGGGGGGGGGGGGGAGCGAGCGGGGGAGGGGTTTGCTGGTTCCTAGGCGCCAGGAGAAGTTGCAAGCGGAGGCATAGTGGTTTTGGCCTCATACGTCTGCAGTGTTGATTTCCCCTCTCCCCTCTTTCTCTCTATATAGGTGCAATCCCAGATTTTATGCCCTTTTAATCTCCCCAACTCAGGGGTTCATCCAAGTCCAAGTTGTTGTCGGTTTTATTTGGAGATTTTAACATTTTGAATCCCACCACCACACCTAGTCTTAATCAGGCTGCCATCTGCCCAAGCATGCCTCTCTTCCCTGGGAGCATTGCATGCCGGAAGTAATTCTGCATCTTTGCACTTTTATGCTGGCTTGTTGGATTCCCTGGTAATGTAGATATTCTCAGCTGCTGGAAGGCTGGTCTAAAAGCAGAGAGAGAGAGAGAGTGGGAGGGAGGGGTGGGTGGGTGGGAGGGAGGGAAGCAGCATGGCTCCTTTTAATCTTTCTTTTTTTGGGGGTGGGGGAGAGGAACATAGGTGGGCTGTAGAGCAATTAGTGTAGTGATGCTCCCCTGCACCTCTCACTGCATTTGAGAGAGAACTTCCCACACTGCTTTCCCACAAGGCTAAAGATGACAATATGGCTTGTTTAAAGAAGAATTCTGGTGCTCCACAGGGCTTTTCACTACCACCCATAACTGACAAGGCATGCCATTTGTCTCTCCTTTGCAACAGAGGGCACGCATGCACACACACACACACACAGAGAGAGAGAGAGAGACACATGCAAAATGGCAGCCATCCACCTCTTTCTAGCTTCTCCTAAGCAGAGACACGCTGTCTTGCCTCATTGCAAAAATCCAGTGGAGAAACTGGTACCGCGGCGGTACCGTCCAGCACTCCCAGGAGAAAAGAGATGCGGGGCAGGAGGCTCCTTCCACCCGAAAGGCCCCACCTACCCAGTGCCCCTCAGCACAGCCCTCCCTGCCACGTGTTCTTCTAATCTTCCAATCGTTTTGCACTAGCAGGTGGCAAAAGAGGGGACTGGATTTTTTTTTTCCCCCTTCCGTTTTCCAGCAGTCCCCATCTTTCCATGCCTTTCGGCAGGTGAGTGGGGGGGCGGGCAGGTGAGGAACAGTTTCTGCCACTCTGAACAAATTCGCTGGACTTTGGCTGTGATGAGAACTTGCCGGTTTGAGGCAGCCATACAGCAACTCTGTACATGTTTGTGTGCGTTGTGCGCGCGCGCGCGTGGGTGTGTGGAGGTTTGTATGACCGGCTTATGCTGTGTATTTTATTTAAAGTAAAATTTATGCCCTATGAAGTGGCTTCTTTCTTTCTGTTTTGCTAAGTGCAGCCACGTACAATGTGTGTGTCCATGTCCGTCCCTCCCCAGCAGTGTTACTGAAAAAAGCATGGGAAGAGGGAGAAGAGAGACGTTCTTAATGTAGGAAAATAGAGAATTGCAGATGTTCCATCACTCCTTCCCAAATATTTTTGCTTCATGAGCAAACTACAGTGATGAGGTGATTCCCCATCCTTGGCAGAACCAGAGATATTCAGCCGGTTCAGACCAGTTCTAACCCTACCAGTAGTGAAAATTTTGTCTGGTTCAGAGAACCAGCAAATGCCACCTCTGGCTGGCCCCGCCCACCTGCCCCGTCGTTACCTCTTCTATATTCCCTTGTTTTTTAGCTCAGCTGATTCGCACAGCAGAGCGGATTGCCGCGCCTCAGCTGAGCTTAA